CAGGGAGCCTTCCACTTGTCCTGATTGTTGCACATAAGATCTGTTGATCTACTCAAAGTATGCTATGGAGGATCTCGAATGACGCAAAAAGAACACGAATGAGCACTGATGGTGCGTCGGAACGATAGCTAACTACATACCCTGATGGTTGCAAAAGGGGGTATTCATGCAATGCCTAGGGCACTTGTCTTTTTGGGGGGGAATCTGCGTTCGGGCCACATTTGTCTGCTTTCTGTGCCTTTGTGGGAAGGGCGTCCGGGGGTGTTGCTTCATGATTCCATTTAGATAGAAATGCCACTCGTATCCGAGGCCAGTGAGTCTATTAGTCTGCTGATGTATCTATCTGTTGATTACATAGGTCTATAGTCTATCGCACAAAAAAATGAAAGGGTATTGTTATCTCCTGTCTCCGCATTTTTCACACTTCAATTCCGATACAGCGGCACCATGGACTACACAACACCAATCAGTCAGCCATCATCCCATCCCTCCATCAAACTCAACTCCAAAGGGGGGGAAAAAAGGATGAAAGAACTTACCTCCGCAAACTTCGGCTCCACAAACAACGCCCTGGCCTCCGCCACGACCGTCTCCCCTTCCTCACCCTCCCCACTACCAGGAGCAGGCATACTCCTCATCTCACCCTCCACCCACGCCTTCCTCCCCTCCACCTTAACCGTCTCCGCCTTCAGCACATACACCCGCTCCGGCAACGCCGGCTTCCTAAAATCGACATTCAAATTCGCCGTCATGCCCAACCCACTCTTAAACGAATCCGAGACGCATCTCGCAAACGCCTCATCGAACATCACGCTCAGCAAGCCTCCGTGCACATACCCAGGATGTCCGCAGAGTTGCGGCCCGATATGAAAGACTGAGATGAGGCGCGCGCGCGGAGATTCCTTTCCTTCTTTTGGTGTTGTACCCTCCTGGGAGGAGGAAGGTTTGCGGTTGACAATAGAAGTGAACATATACGGCGGCACGGTCACCTTGTTCGCGCCGGAGAGCGTCCCCGCGACGAAGTGGTTCGGCCGGTGCGAGGATTTCATGTGCAGATGGGGACGGGATTCTTTGTATGAGGGGTTTGAGCGCAGGGATTGCACGAGTGGGTGCGTGGTTATGAGGTGTTCGGCTGCTGAGAGCGTCGATTGGGGGGTTGGGGTTGGGGTTGGGGGCTGGTCGAGTCGGTCATGGTAGGAGGGGAGCGTGGAGGGGGATTCGATGGCTGAGGAGGCGGCGCCAGCTTTGATGGTGCGGATTTGGGTGTGAGGGATGATGAGGTGGGTGGGTGGGCGTTTGGTGAGGAGGCGGGTGATGGTGGTGGTGGTGCGTGGGAGGGACATTTTTTGATTGATTGATGTAGTAGTCAATGCTGTTGGTATGGTGGTCTTGATCTTAGTGTGTCTTGGTGGTGGTTAGTGTTGATCATTGATTCAGACTAGTAGTAGTTTGTATGTATGTGTAGGTTTCATAGACGGGATGATGTCTGTGGTTGTTGCATACCTTTTCCTTAGTTCAACTCACATATATATAATAACCTGAGGATACCTGCTATTGCTCGAATGACAGAAACTCAGCTTCTGCAATATGCAACAGGCAAAGGCCTAATTGCCTTCGGGCAGAACAGGGAAAAAAAGATGAAAAAAACCCTGGCCTATCCGGGAAAGTGGGCCCCCGCCCACGTGGAATTTCATCAACGTGGACTAGTCTGGCCAATAGGAGGCTATGGTATGGCGCTAGTTGGGATGGCTTGCAGGGATGAGGCGCCCAACTTGCAGGGATCGGGCGGGTGGGGCAGACCCGGTGTGTTGGGATTGGTAGAGTTTTGACGCGCCGGTGTGTTTTATTTGAGGAACACCTGTTGCTGAGACGAGCATAGAAGGTGTTGCCGGTTCTAGGTGGTTTCCTGGTTGGGGAGGTGTCTGGTGGGTATGGTTATTAGGGGTGAGGTATTTTTAGGTTTGTTACTACATTATAATGTTAATTGTATGCCGTGATGGAGTCGATAGCATCATAGCGGTGAATAGGGGATAATAGTAGGTGGATTTATACCTACTGTTCTATCTCCACTTCTTTGCTCGGTCGAACGGAGTTTATTAGGCTATTGGTGATATACCGCTTTGATGAAGTCATACTCAACTGACTCCGTGCATTTCAAGCCCATAATTACTACTAGTAGTAGTAATACTTTTACAACTTTACCACATGTTTATCCACATGGTGGGCTCTAGAAAGTTCAAGAAGCGACAACATAATCTTACTTTTGTCGAGCTTAAGTGTATGAGCAATCTACTAATCGATTGACTGATTCTCTCTGCATGTGGTATATGAACAACTCTGTACAACGTAATAGATACAAGCATTAGAAATCCAATGGATCCACCTGGCCCAGGAATGAATTGTTGCCCTCTCCACGCAGCAACGCCTCAATGTCCACCCGTCCGGACGTGAGGTACCGCTCACTCACACCTACGTTCACTCGCTGAGACAGCAGATGCTTCAACTCTGCCCGCATGGCCGCCAACTCATTCTTCGTAACCTCACCAGCCTTGCGCTGCCGTTCCTGGCGCCCACGTCCGCGGCCGCGACCACGGCCCTGGGCGCTCTCAAACTCCTCGCTATCATACTCAACCCCAAGGTCCTCTGCTGCCTTTTGGAGCCAGTTATCTTCCGCGGAGATCTTCTCCTTGGCGATGTTAAAATCGGTGATCTTGGCGGCCAAGTTCACGCGGTCACGGACCCGGAGGACGACCCGACGGTCGAGCTCCAGCGACTCAAGCGGCAATTTCTTGCCATTGGCCATGTTGGCGTGGACTTTGGCGGCCAGACGAACCACTCCGACCATTTCCTCCGGAGCGCAGATGATCACACTCTTTCCGGATGCACCCGCACGGGCGGTACGTCCGGAACGGTGGACGTAGGTGTCGGCTGCGCGGGGAGCGTGGTAGTGGATGACGAAGTCAATGCCCTTGATATCGAGACCACGTGCAGCAACGTCTGTGGCGACGAGGATGCTGCTAGGATTGGATGTGGGCGAGGAGAATCGCTCTACTGAACGTAGACGCGCTTTCTGGGCCATAGAGGAGTGGAGTGCGAGAGCGGGAAGGCCGAGGTTCTGGAGCAATTGGGTGAGACGGCGGACGGCGGAGATCGAGTTGGTGAACACAAGTGTCCGGTGCTTGGGGTTGTAGAGCAAAAGAGTGTAGAGATAAAGATCCTAGGTTCGATTAGCATATGAATAACTTTCTGCAGCGACTGCACATACCTTCTCCATAGCTCCACATTCGACAATGCCTTCCTTTAGGCCTTCAGCCATCTGCGAGACCGGGTTGACGTCAATGAACTTGGGCTTTTCTTCGCGGAACTTCAGTTTCTGGAGGAGATATTCCATGGACTCCTTGTTGCTCATGATGTCGCCTCCCGTCCAACGCGCTTTGCCGGCTAGCTTCTGCTGCAAGTCGCGGTGGAATGTAGCGGAGAAGACCAACGTCTGCCTCTGGGCGCGAGCATCCTCCTTCTCTTCGTCTTCGCTATCGTCGCCACCAAAATCGCCATCCTCAACGCGATCGAGAGCACCGAGGATCTCCTCAGCTTCCTTAAAGTGACCCTCGCTCAGAAGTCTGTCCGCCTCATCAATGACAAGGAACTTGATGTCACTCATCTTGCGGATCAAACCCTGACCACTGCTAAGCACCTCCCATACTCGACCAGGGGTACCAATGACGATGTCAGCACCAGCTAGCACTCGCTGCTGCTTCTGCACGGACAGACCACCCGTAAGGAGTGCAATGCGGGCACTGGAGCCGGGGGCGTGGAGAGCAAGCTCGCCAATATGCTTAGCCAATTGATGTGCCAATTCACGGGTGGGAGACATAATAAGAGCAATAGGGGCGGAGTCCTTCTTCTTCTCTTCCTTGCCAGCGCGCAAGTCCTCCCGTTTCTTCTCAAGATAGTGCTCGAGGATGGGGATGCCGAACGCCAATGTCTTTCCGGAACCTGTCGACGCCTTGCCGATCACATCGTGGCCATCTAAGATCTGGGGAATGCAGGACTTTTGAACAAGAGTCGGTGTGGTGAACTTCATCTTCGACAGACCGGTGAGGATCTCAGGAGACAACCCAAGTGACTCCCAAGCAGAAACATCCACGCCATCGTCGTCCTCTTCATCTTGGAGTGCAGCAAACGAGAGTCCAGCCTTGATGCTCTTGTCTTCCTGGTTTGGTGTAGTCTTCTGCTTTGCTTCTTTCTTGGCTTTCTTCTGCTCCGCCTGCCTTTCCTTCTTGGCCTTCTTCTTCTCCTCAGCCGTGGGTTTGCCGGCTTCCTGCTCGTCTTTCTGGTCTTCCTTCGGTGCAGCGTCCTTCTTCTCGGTCGCTTCGTTGTCGCTGAAACCGGACCACTCGTCGTCGTCGAACTTCGGTTCTTCCTCCTCTGGCGCCTTCTTCTTCAGGATCGATTTCTTCGGTTTGCCATGTGCGGCCTGGAAGATCCATTAGCACTCTCCGAACACCGCCAGCTAACACCACATACCTTGAACCTAAGTCCTTCACTTCCACCCTTGATAACCTCTACTCCGTCAATTTCTTCCAATCCAAAGAAACCACCTGCATCCCCAAGCCGATCAGGCAGCGCGACCTCTTTCCAGTTAAGATCATTGACGGTGACAAGCGGATCCTCACTCTCCTCAGCCGCGGTGACATCCTTCTTCCTCTTTTTCGCCTGCAAATCAGCTCCTTTCGAGCCGCGCTGTCTCTTCTGGCCCATAATTGCAAGAATTAACCCCGACCGAATACACAAAATGTAAGATGCGAGGAGAAACAAACGTCCGCAGCGTAAGTTGCAGCCGCCGAAGGGAAGAAAAAAAAGCGGCAGAAAGCCGCCATACCGCCCAGCGCCAGTTAATCTTATCGCCGCCCCACGAGAAAATCCCCCTCAAATCCCTCCTCCGGGCCATCCAAAACCTCAATTCCCTCCACCACAAAACACCCACCCCCACCGCCACAATGGGTAAATCCTCCAAAGACAAGCGCGATGCCTACTACCGTCTCGCCAAGGAACAAAACTGGCGCGCCCGATCCGCCTTCAAACTGATCCAAATCGACGAGCAATTCGATCTATTCGAGCACGAGAACCCAGACAAAGTCACCCGAGTCGTCGATCTGTGCGCCGCCCCGGGCAGCTGGAGTCAAGTGCTGAGTCGCGTTCTGATCAAGGGCGAGAGTTTTGGTCGTCGCGCCTGGGTCGAGAAGAAGCGCAAGGAAAAGGAAGCCCTCGAACGAGTCCGCAATGGCTCAAACACCACAACCACCTCATCAGAAGATACCGACATGACCGAACTGAAACCCCGCAAGAACGTCAAAATCGTCTCCATCGATCTCCAACCCATGGCGCCTCTCGAAGGCATCACCACCCTCAAAGCAGACATCACCCACCCCTCCACCATCCCCCTCCTCCTGCGCGCCTTGGACCCTGAAGCCTACGACTCCACCTCCACCTCTACCACCCCCTCCGCCATTCGTCCCCCTCACCCCGTCGACCTGGTCATCTCTGACGGCGCTCCGGACGTAACAGGCCTGCACGACCTCGACATCTACATCCAATCGCAACTACTTTACTCGGCACTCAACCTCGCCCTGGGCGTCCTCCGCCCCGGCGGCAAATTCGTCGCCAAGATCTTCCGCGGCCGCGACGTCGATCTCCTCTACGCGCAACTCCGCACTGTGTTCGAGAAAGTCAGCGTTGCGAAGCCGCGGAGTAGTCGCGCTAGTAGTCTGGAGGCGTTCGTCGTGTGCGAGGGATTCATCCCGCCTTCCATCCACGCCGGAACAGAGGCGCTGAAGAACCCTATCTTCGGGGGTGTGGCTGTCCCGCCTCCTGTCTCAACGGACGGAAACGTCGGAGTGGAGGTGGTCGAGAGCGAGGACGAGGCACGCCCCGTCAAGCTGGCCCGCTATGCTCCGGCCGAGGCGACCCTAGGCGCTGCTTCAGCGGAGTCTAGCCAGACGGAGGCGCGACTGCTTCACGATGACTCGTTGGCGTCGGTGACGCCTACGCCGTTGGCGTATAAGTCTGCCGGTGAGAAGTTCGCTGTCGAGAACAGGTGGATTCCTAGGTTCATTGCATGCGGTGATCTCTCGGCTTGGGATTCGGATGCCTCGTACACGCTGCCGCCGGATCATGTCAGTTTGGATCCGGTGCAGCCGCCTACGGCCCCGCCTTATCGGCGGGCCTTGGAGTTGAGGAAGGAGAAGGGTGGTGCGTATGGAAAGACGAAGTTGGGTAGTCTGGGACGGGCTTGAAATTAGAAGTGGATATTAATGCGGCCGCTTTTAACGCTATCTTCTTGTTTATAGTTATGGTTACGAATTTTTCCTTTTCCGTTTTGGCGGGGTGAAAAAAAAAAGTTGGATGTGCTTAGACTAACAACTACTTGGCTGCTAGATGGACAAGGGCGGATGGATATAGCAGATACCCATAGATCTAAAATTTACGATAGATGATGATTATGAGAAGAGGAATAGATTCATAGAGAAAATGCAAAAGTCTATTTTGAATTGGTAGATCAGGTGTCTCTATGCTGGTATGCGCTAAACTCAAACAGGACGGACAGATCATCACATCACATCATGTACAACGCGCGGCGCTAGATATCCCCACCCTTCTATGGTCATAACCTTTTTTCAACCTCCGCTTAGTACACCTCAAGGACGTATCTCTCCTCATCCTTCAACTTCTCGATCTCCTTGCGAGAGTCGACCTTCTTGCCGAGGTTCTTGGCCTCAGTGGCGATGGCCTCCTCCAGCACGGCAGTGACATCGGGCACGGGCCATGTGGGACCGCAGAGGTAGAAAGCACCCTCCTCGCGGATGTAGGCCTGGATGATTTCAGGCAGAGTCTGGCGCATGCGATCCTGGATGTAAATCTTCTCAGGCTGGTCACGAGAGAAGGCACGACCCAGGACAGTGATGACACCGGCCTCCTGGTAGGCCTCCCACTCCTCACCGTAGCAGTACTCCTCGCGCTGGTGGCGGGAGCCCATGTACAGCAAGACGGCACCAATCTCCTTGCCCTGAGCCTTCTCAAGAGCACGGTGCTGGACGAAGGCACGGAAGGGAGCCAGACCAGTACCGAGACCAGCCATGATGAGGGGCTGGGTGGACTTGGGGGGCAGCTTCATCACACTGGACTTGACGCTGACGGTGACGGGGGTACCGGGCTGGAGGCGGCTGAGGTAGCGGGTAGCCTGACCGAAACGGTCACGGCCAGTGGGGTCCGTCCAGGTAACCGCAACGATCATAAGAGCAACGGTGGTGGGGGTCACCTTCTGGCAAGAAGCGATGGAGTACTCACGACGCTTCAGGGGACCGACGATACGGATCAGGTCGTGGAAGTCAGGCTTGGCCGAGGGGTACTGGAGCAGAATATCCGCGAAGGTAACGGTGTCCACCTCGGAACGGCGCTTGAATTCCACAGCTCCGTCGGGGCCACCGAGGGTAAGAAGATCGGTCTTCTCCTTCTCGTCGTCGGCGAATTCGGCCAGAGCTTCGTAGAAGCGCTTGGGCGGGCGACCGAAGATGTCGACGTTCTGGACAAGGGCCTGGTAGACGGTACGGTTCTCCAGCACGGCTGGGTCCTCGCGGCTGGGCACCTCGACGACATCGTCGGCGTTCAGGCCATAGAAGGCGATGAAGTCCATGACATCCTTCGGGTCGTTCTCAGCGTGCACGCCCAGGGCTTCACCGATGTCATACTTGAGGCCAGAGTCACCCAAGTCGAACTCGATGTGGAAGATGTTACGATCGTAGGTGACAGGAGTAAGGCGTCTGTTCTCCTTGACGTGGACAGTGAAGGTCTTGGTAGCCGTCTCAGGACGCAGAGCATTCTTGGTGCCGTAGGCCTCCTTGAAAGCGAGACCCTTGGCAGCGGTCTGCCAGTCCTTAAGGTAGGAGGCAGGCTCGGTCTCTTCCTTGTCGAAGGACACGAAGCTGTTTTGGGAGATGTCCTTGGGGAGCTGAGCAACCTGGGCTCCCTCCTCAGGAGTCTTCCAGGCCTCGGGAACCTCGATCTGGCGGAGAACCTTCTCAAGTTCCTTGCTAACATTCTCCAGGGCCTCGGCATTACCGCCAATAGAAGCCAGCTTCTTGATGCCCACGCTCTCCTGAGAAGGCAGAGCCACACGCAAGAAAGCAACCTGGAGGACCGAGGACTCAGAGGCGGTCTCACCGGCAACAGATGGGTCGACGAAGTAAAGGGAGATGCCCCGCTCAGCGACAGCCTGGCGGAAAGCGACAGGCAGCTTCTTCTCGAGCTCATCGTCCTTCACGCCAGGGGCGTTCACGATGACCTTGCCGTTGTCCTTGACAGATGCGGCAATGTCGACGTCGCCAAGCAGCTTAACGTCTCCAACATAGGCAGTGTCGGCAGCAGTGATAGAGTAGGGGGCATCGACAATCTTGGAGCTCTTGCGGATGTCAACACGAACGACACCTCCCTGGACGAGGTTATCGTGGACCTTGTTGGTGGTGACATTGCTTGCTGAATCGGCAGCCAAGGCCTGGGAAAGAGTCGTGGCGACGTCGCCACCAACGGAGGTGTCAACATCCCAGAAAGTGTACTCCTGGACGGTGGCAGGGTCGAGCAACTGCAGAGGCTCGGACTCGGCACCAGCCTGGACAATAGGCTTCTCGTGAACCAGCTGGAAAGCGGCAGCGGTGTTGATCAGATCCCAGCGCTGAGAGCGGGCGTACTTGATATCAATGCAAGCCGGGGTCTGCTCCCGATCGGTGGCGAAAGTCAAAGCAGCAAGGACATCCTCGTACAGAGCAGAGCGAACACCCTGCTCCTGCACAGCCTGTTCGTCAGAGACCTGGCCAAGGACACCAACGGTCTTGACAGACTTGGGCAGAACGCGCAGGAATTCCTCCTCCACAAAAGGACGGTAGACACGGACGTTGATGACACCAACGCGAACACCGTCCTTAGCCAAAGAACGGGCAATCTGAGCAGTGAGGGATGCCTCGACGGTACCGAAAGCAACCAGAACAGAGACGGGCTCAGCGTGGCCGTGGTACTCGAAGAGGCCATAGTCGGTTCCGAGCTCACCGTTCAGGGACTGGAGGAGCTCGAGGAGCTTGCCCTGAGTGTCGAGATGACGACTGCGGGAGTCTTCAAGGGTCTTGCGGACGGCCTCGTAGGTGCGAGACAGACCAGCCTGGTCGAGGACGTCAATGACGCGAGTCTCTTCCCGGCCGACGCGGACACCGTCATAGATGTGGACGGAGGGCAGAACGGAGGACAGAAGGGTGGTGAGCAGAGCCATGTGCTGAGACTCATGGACAGAGGCACTCGACACCAGACCCAGGCCAAGCTCTTCGGCGAGGGAGAGGGCGGAGGCATAGTCGGAGACAAGGCCGTCCTCACCGGCATAGTCGACAGCGGCGACATGAGCAGCAACGGGGCTGGCAACGGAGTACAGGAGAGACAGCTGCTCCAGGGCGGCACGCATATAAGGGAGAGTGGCCGAGGAAGCAACAATACCCTGAGGGATGTGGCGCTTCTTCAGGTCGAAGTCCTGGGAGAAGATGTAACCGAGGGCGATGTTACCAGCACCCTGGCGAGTCTCCATGGCCTTGATCTCAGGAGACTCGCCATTGGCGTTGATCTCCTGCTTCGAGGACCATTCCCGGAGAGCAGCATCCAAGTCGAAGGACTCCGGAGAGTAGGAGAAGATCTTGTCGCTCAAAACATAAGCGACTTGCTGGATGAGGGTCTGGGCAGTGACATAAGTCGGACCGCCGAGGGTCGACAAGGCTGGAGAAGGAGAGCCCATGGCGGGGGATTCTTGTCTGAAGATGGGGGAATCAGCCAGCCGATACCACCAGGATGAAGACAAGAAAGACAAGAGGAGAGGAATCAGCAGCGCCGGATTGGGAGGGGCGATGGGGGGATAAAAAGCCCGTCGCCGCCGCCGCTCTATAGAAAATCCCAGGGGATCTTACCCCATCCGGCTAGTGGCAATCACGCAATTTCTTATCGATAGATCCTGGAGGCGGGATCCGGTGGCAGAATATCTCCGCTTTCGGCCTTCCCCGCATTAGTCAGTTAAGGTATCCTGAGGCATCAGCAATCTGGACCCGCCGATAAGTGCTGATTACTCATCCACGATAAGTCGGTAGAAAACGTCATCTCATCATCCTTACATGTAGTTATCCCTTCCTGCACCAATCCTATTTTGTATATAACAGCTGCTAGTTTAACATGGCCAACGTCGCACTGATCGGCTGCACCGGCATGGTGGTAAGTAATCCATCTTATATCTACCCTAGTCAAACCTAGTCCCCTCCAGCACAAGTCATCCCTTCAAATCCGCCATGCAGTCCCCAACCAAAAAGCAAAACCATCTAATATACTTATCAACAGGGGAGCCACATCCTCACCCACCTCCTGGGCAACTCTTCCGTGGCACGCATTGACACTATCTCCCGTCGTACCCCTCAACCCGCCACTGCCGCGCCCCAAGAAAAGCTCACCACCTTCGTGTCCGACGACTCCTCCAAGTGGGCTTCGCAGCTCTCCTCCCTGAGCCCAACGCCAGACATCTTCATCTCCGCATTCGGAACCACCCGCGGCGCAGCTGGCGGCTTCGAGAACCAATACAAGATCGAACATGGTTTGAATGTTGAGCTGGCCCGTGCGGCGCGCGACGCCGGCACCAAGGTCTACGTGCTGATCTCGTCGACCGGCGCTGACAAGAACTCATCCTTTGGATATCCCCGGATGAAGGGTGAGATTGAGGAAGAGGTGAAGGCGATGGGATTTGAGAGGACTGTTATCTTGCGCCCTGGGCTTATTTCCGGAGAGAGGCAGGAGAGTAGGCCTGCTGAGGCGGTGATGCGGGGCTTTGCGGGTCTTGTTGGCAAGATTCATTCCGGATTGAAGGATGGATGGGCGCAGGATGCGGATGTTATTGCGAAGGCGGCGGTTAATGCGGGAGTTAAGGCTTTGAATGGCGAGGTTCCGGCTGGGAGTGAGAAGGTGTGGGTTATGTATGGGAAGGATATTATACAGTATGGGAAGGAGTAATAATACTAAAGGGCCGGGGCTTGTTTGAGAAGGGTTATTGTACTATGCAGTAGTGTTTATAGTATATGCTATCCGCTTTAATGATATTTATTTTTTGATTTCACTCTATTGAAGTTGACTACGACTTGAAGTCGATGTAGAAAACAATTACTACTCTCTCAATCCTACAAAATATATATATCCCATTGAAGATCAAACAGCCTGCTTCTTATTATAT